CCCCCTGCTCCACCCCCAGCCCCCACTGCCCTCCCAGAGCAGGGAAGACCCAGGTGACCAGGGCCTCTGGCAGGTTGGTGCTGACAGTAACTCCCTGTAGAACAAGCCCCTCATTAGGAGCCTACTTTGCCGTTAATTAATTTTGGACTCAATGAGCCATGTGAGGTTCCCTGGGGGAGACCTCCCAGAGCCCAGCCTGCTCCCCATCCCCCCTTCCCAGAGCTGGAGAGAACCCAGGCGTCTGGGCTCCCAGCCCCCCCCAATCTAATCCCCGCCACTGCATCCCCCGCAGCAGGTTGTTTTGACAGCTGGCAGATTGACAGGTGTCAATCATACTCACTGAGATTTCTCCCAGTCTTCTTAACCCCTCAGCTTCTGCCACTCTCTCCCCTGCTGGGAAAAGGCGTTTGGGGGAGCCTGGACACCTGGCTTCTCTCCAGTCGTGGGCGAAGAATCAGGGCTGGGGGATTAGAGCGGAGGAGTCTAGGAGCCCAGATCTCTAGGAGGGGAGTGGGGGCTGGGGTGTTAGAGCTGGGACACCTGGGTTCTCAGGCTAAGGGATATTAATGGATGTCAAGCAGATGGGGAGGGGCTAGCCAGGGCCTTGTGTCATCTTGGGGGCCTTAATCAGGGTCTGGGGGGCAGGCCGGGAGGCCAGGGGAAGCTGGACACCTGGGCTCACTGTTCAGCAGCCTCTGGCCTGGGGGGCCCCCAAGTGGGGGGGGGCAGGCAGAGGGGATGTCGGGATCCCAACAGGACACCTAGGTTCCCCCCATTTCTCAGCCTGGGGCTTGGGGGGACTTGGGACTGAGGTTGGACACATGGGTTTGGTGTTCCCAGGGGCAGGGGAAATCTGGAGGGGGCTGGTCCTTGGGCCCCAGCTGGACACCTGGGTTTGCTATGTCCCAGGCACCTGACCTGGTACACAGCCCCCTTCAATCCTGGTCTGGGGGGTCATTGATGGAAGGGGGGGGCCTGGCTGGCTCTGCCCCATAACCTCACACCCTCCCTCTTCCCTCACCACCCCCAGGTCTTCCGCAGTGGTGAGGGCATGGGGATCCGCTTGGACAGCGCCTCGGCCTTCCAGGGCGCCGTGATCTCGCCCCACTACGACTCTCTGCTGGTCAAGGTCATCGCCCACGGCAAGGACCACCCCACGGCTGCCTCCAAGCTTAGCCGGGCCTTGGCCGAGTTCCGCATCCGTGGTGTCAAGGTAGGGGGGATCACATCTTATGTGGGGGTCGATTTTGGGCACCCACCGAGCTCTGGTGGCTCCAGAAGGTCCTGCAGGGGGTGTTGGGGGCTTTGCCCCCAGTGACGGGGGCTGGTACCTGGCTTCCCCTGGTATCAGGAGATCCTGTGAAGCCTGGGGCAGGCACCAGCTGGTCTGGTCAGGGCAGTGCGGGGGTGCTGGCACTTTTCCCTTGGGTGCCAGCTTGTAGCCCATGACAGACTGCTGGCTTTTCTGTCGGCCCTGATCCTGGTCTGGGGGGTCTGGATAGCGCCTGGTGCCCTCTGATCTTGGCTGGGGGGGTGGGGGGGGGCTGTACAGTGCCCAGCACCCCCCAATCTCAGCCTGGGGAATCTGTACAGTGCCACCCCTGCCCCCATCTCAGTGATCCCCTGCATGTCAGGCACCCTGTGCCAGTCCAGGTGCCTGGGGCCTGCAGGCTGGGACCCCCACAGCTGGCTGGTCTCTGCCTTGGCTAGAGGCACCTCATGCACATTCAGGGTAAGGAAGTTGCTAGGGTCTGGGGTCCTTCAGGGAGAGGGCTGAGGGCCGTTTTGGTTCTGTTGCGGCTTATAGGAGGGAGAGAGCCCAGGTGTCCGGGCTCCCAACTCCCCACCTCTTGCTGTCACCCTCGTGCACTCACACCACTGCCAAAGCTGGGGAGAGCCCAGGCATCCAGGATCCCAGCACCTTCTGCTCAAGCCCCCCTGATCCCAGGTGGCTGGGCTCCCAGCTGCCCCTCCTCTAATTCCTCCTGTCCCTTCTATCTGGGGAGACTGGTTCGTTCTGAGGCTGCTCACACCCTGGCAGGGCTGTTGGGGGGAGCCAGCAAAGGACGCTCTGCCTAGCCTGGCCTTGAGGCCCCTGGGAAGCTGAGCAAGGTCAGGGAGGGGTCAGCATGTGGATGGGAGACCTCATGCACTGATGCCTCAGCGCTAAGGGCACCGTGCTGCACAGCCCATGGGTTTGGCCACATGCAGAGTTGCAGCCGAGAACCCAGGCGTCCAGGCAAAACTCCCCATTCCCAGCACAGTCCTTTGGAGATGTGGCCAGCTCTGGGGAGACGGGGCCCTTTTGCTGGGATGCAGCCACCTCTGGGGTGGGGCAGGAAATGGGGCTACAAAGCTAGGCTCTGGGATGCAGCCACCTCTGGGGTGGGGCTTGGGGGACTGGGGGCTGCTGTGTGGCTGGCTATGGGGGGAACGTGTTGGCAGCTGAGTAGAACAGAGGCAGGGGCAATGGGGCCCCTGGCCAGGATGCGGCTGGCTCTGGGGAGGAGCAGAACAGAACTTCTCTCTGGCAGACGGGCTGGATTGTTTATTTTGGCAATTGATTTTTTTTTAAAAGAAAATCCACAAAAAGAAAATTCCAGCCCAGACCTCGCCCACCCCATCGGGGTCCTGGGCTGCATCTAACTGGCTCCCAGGGCAAAATCCAAAGCCCCATCGAGGGCGCGACTGTGCATTGGGGATGGGGGGCAGGTTAATACATCATCGTGGGGCTTGTGATGTCATCACCATGTCAAAGCGAGGGACGGCTGCATGTCAGACTGGGCAGCGCCGTGCCAGGACAGGTGCCCCCCCTTGGGGTGAAGCCGACAGCACTGTATTGGAGCCACTGGTGTCATGTGGGAACAGAGATCATGGCATCGCATCCACAGGCACTGCACTGGAGTGGGCGTCACTGCCTTGGCTCCATTGGCACCACACTGGAGTGGGGATCACTACATCGGATCCACGGGCACTGCACTGGAGTGGGAATAACTGCGTTGGTTCCACTGGCATCTCACTGGAGTGGGGGTCACTGCATCAGATGTGTACGCCGCACTGGATTGGCTTCACTGCATCAAATTCACTGGCACTACACCGGAAGAGGTATCACTGCATTGAAGCTGTGAGCACTGCAATGGAGTCCCTGGCACTGCATCGGAGTGGGCATCACGGCATTGGATCCAATGGCACCACGTGGGCACTGCACTGGAGGGGATATCACGGCACTGGGTGCACTGGCACCACACTAGAGGGGTATCAGGGCATGAGATCCACTGGATTGGACATCACTGCATTAGATTCACAGTCAGGCCAGGATCATCACAGCAACTAGAGCGTCCTGGCACCATCGCCGTGGCAACAGAGGCAGCATCATCTCAGGCAACCAACCCAGCTGCTTGCTACCAGGGGCCTGGCACTGGAGGCAGGGAGGGGGTCCATTGTCCATGGCCCCCGCCAACTACACCACGCTCTCCTCCAGCTCCTCAGCACCAGCCAGTCGCAGTGCAGCTTCGCCAGCTCCACCTACCAGCATCCCATGCATTGATTGGCTGCGGCGGGCCCAGAGGGCACCCAGCCGCTTGGCATAGCCTGAGCAGGCCCCCATGTCCAGTGAACAGCTCCGGCGGGCTGGGGCACAGCCCCCTGCTGCTCCCCTTGTTCCCTTTGCTCCTGGCCTCCCCTTGGCCCGCCTGGTGTGGGCACGGGACCCATGGGCAGCAGCTGGTGGTGGCGCTAGGGGGGCCCCATTGGTTTGGGAGTGGACGTCAGCCAGCTTGGGACTCTGGGCGCCCGCGCAGCCCCGGGCGCGGACTGTGACGGCCACAGCAAAGATGAGCAGCGTGGCCACCAGGACACCGCCCACTGCCACGGTGAGCGTGCCCCCCAGGACATGGGCACGGAGGGCATTGCATGGGGCTGCCGCCTCGCCTGTGGCGAAGTGGGTGCATCCCAGGCGATGGGTGGAGGCCAGTGCTGTGGCAGTGTCGGGGGCCACGGCCAGCACGCACAGGTCGTAGGCGGCTCCTGGCACCAGGTGCTTGAGGAGGAAGTGGCGGCTGCTGCCCGGTAGGATCCTGGGAGGAGAAGGAAGGAGACGAGGGGTGAAGACTGAGCCAGGGAAGGGTCCTGCCCCCCAGGATCGGGCCCGTATTGGGCCCTCCTGGTGAGGACAGGTCCATGTCCCACCCCCAGCCCTATGTCAGCCAGTGCCCCCTGGATCGGGCCTGGATCCAGACTCCCTGGTGAGTCTGGACCCCAAGGTGATCCCCCCACAGGAGCAGGGCCCCCACCGAGGCAGCTCTATCCACAATGCCTGTATGGCACCGTCATGCTTGCATGCCTTCTGGCCCCTTCCCCCATGCTCCTATGGTTACCCACAATGCACTGCCTGTCAGCCAGGTATACCCATAATTCTATGCCTTCTGCCCACAGGCTAGCACCCCATGCACTGTGGGTAACTTGTACGAGGGGCATGCCCATATTCCCCTGCCCTCTGGCCCTGTATACCAGTGGTTACCCACAAGGCACGGTGCCCCAGCTAACCTCTTGTGTTGGGGGCCAGCTGGCCCACATACAGATGTACCCAGAATTCCTTGGGTTCGGCCCACAGGAACCAGCGATTTCCCCACAATGCCGGTCTGCCCATATATTGGCATACCCATAATTCCCTGCCCAGCCTCCACTACAGAATACCCACAATCCCTTGTGCTCCAGCAGCCTTTATATATGGGTGTACTCATCATTGGGTGTGCATCCTCCACTGCAGACAGCCAGAGCACAAGGCATTGTGGGGAATGTCCATATACAAACATACCTATCATTCTATGTTCACCTTCCACCGTGGACTACCCACAATGCCTTGCACTCCTATTATCCCCATCCCCATCCTTCCATGCCGTGTCCACCACAAACTACCCACAATGCCTTGGGCTCTGGCTGTGTCCATATACAGACATACCCATCCTTCCATGTCCACCCCACACTGCAGACTACCCACAATGCCTTGCACTGTCGCTGTACCCACCCTCTGTCGCAGATTACCCACAGTACCTTACGCTCCTGCTGTGTCCATATAGGGCCATACATGCCATTGCATGCCCAGGCTACCCACAATGCCTTGTGATCTGGCTGTGTCTATATACGGACATACCCATCATTCTGATCCCGCCCTCCACCCCAGATTACCCATAATGCCGTGCACTCCAGTGATGTCCATATAGGGACATACACGTCCTTCCACACCGAGACTACTCGCAGTGTCTTGCTCCCCCCACGTGGTGCCCCCTACCTGTAGACCAGGACCTCGTCATCGGTGCAGTTGTACTGCAGCTGGTAGACCCAAGCGGCGGGTGCCATCTTGTTGGCCTCCCACTGCACCAGGGCCGAGTGGGCCGTCACCTCTGCCACCTCCACAGCCTGGCCCGGCTCCTCCTCCTCCTCCCCGGTGGCGTTGCCAGTCGCTTTGGCCGCCATGTCGGAGGGCCCCGGCAGCCCCACGGCCGCCCCACCCCCATCGCCGTGGGGCAGCGGCAGCACACGGAGCTCCACACGGGCTGTGGCCTCGCCAGCCGCGTTGACTGCAATGCAGGTGTAGGCACCAGCGTCACCCAGGGTGGCGGCTGCCAGCTCCAGCGTCCCGTTGGGGTAAGCCACGGCCCGCGAGGAGTTGGCCACCATGCGCTCACCCGGCGCCACCCAGTGCACCACCGGCTCGGGGTCCCCCAGTGCCCGGCACCGCAGGGCAGCGCGCTGCCCCTCCAGCACCCGCAGGTGCCGTGTGTGGCGAGCCACGAGGGGCGGCTCGCACACAAAGTCCTCCTCCGGCACGGCCCAGAAGTAGCGCCCGGCCACGGCCGGCGGTGCTGCGCACGTCTCCAGCTCACCAGCATCCCGGCCCAGGCGTCGCAGCCACAGCAGCTCACAGTTGCAGCGCAGAGGGTTGCCCCCAAAGCTGAGCGCCAGGGAGGCGGGGGGCACAGCCAGTGCCGGCTCAGGGGCCAGTGTGGCCAGGCGGTTGGAGGTGAGGTCCAGGCGCGCCAAGCGGGCCAGCTCCGAGAAGACACCTGGCTCCACGGTCCCGATGAGGTTGTGCTCCAGCTGCAGCGTGTGCAGGTTGGCCATGCCGCGGATGCCTGCCCACGGCGCCTCCCGCAGGTTGTTGTAGCTCAGATCCAAGTCCTCCAGGCTCAGCTGGAAGTCGGTGAAGGCTGTGGGCGCCACGGCCACCAGTTGGTTGTTGTTCACGCTGAGGTGCTGCAGGTTGAGGAGGCCACGCAGGGCGGCCGGGCCAATCTCGGCCAGCCGGTTGCCATCCAGGTGCAGTGCCCGCAGGCTCTCCAGGTCGCCAAAGGCCAGCGGGCGCAGGGTCTCCAGCCCGTTGCGAGCCAGCGTCAGGTCCACGAGGCCCGACATGTTGGCGAAGTCGGGCGGCCCCACGGCACGGATGAAGTTGTCAGCCAGGCGCAGCTCCACTGTGCGCCGGTCCACGTCCAGGGGCACGGCCAGGAGTCCGCGGCGGGCACACAGGGTGCTCAGCGACTCGGACAGGTTGTGGCAGACGCAGGGCACTGGGCATGGGGCTGCTGCCCGCAGCAGCGCGCCCGCTGCCAGCGCCAGGCCCAGCACAGCCGCCACCGCGGCTCGCCGGCCTGTGGGGGCGGAAAGTGGGGGGTCAGGGCTGGTGTCACAGGCTCCGCCCCATTCATTGTGCCCCCGCCTTGCTAGCCCAAGCCATACTTCCTGTGCTACAGGCTCCACCCCTCCTGTGTATCTGGCTCCGCCTCTGCAATGTGAATTGTAGCTCCACCTTGCTAATCTAAGCCCCGCCTCCGGTCACAGGCCCCGCCTCTGCTGTTTATCTAGCTCCGCCTCTATGCTGTGTGCAACACCCCACGCCATGCCCCATGCACTGTAGCCCCGCCTTTTCTTAGCTAATTCCTGTCACAGGCTCCACCCACTCTGTATCTAGCCCCGCCTCCCTGCAGTGTGCAAGCCACCCCAGACCTGGTCTAAGCCCCACCCCTGCCTTCCAGGCTCCGCCCAGACATTGTAGCCCCACCTTACTCAGCCTCGCCCATCTCGGTGGCTGGCCCCGCCTTTTCTCACTTGGCACCTCCCACACACCTATGCGCCATAAGCCACACCCCTTCCTCGCTGGCCCCGCCTTAACGTTAAGGCCTCTCCTCCTGTCCCATGTGGCCGCGCCCACGCCCGCTAGCCACGCCTCCTCCTTTGCGGGCCCGGTGTCCTTCCTTGCGTTCTGGCCACGCCCCTTCGCTGCAGGCCCCACCCTCTGCATGGCGGCTCCGCCCACAAGCCAAGC